GTCACACAATTTGCCTTACTCATGTTGCTGTACTGCCAGCACTTAGTAAGGAGGCTCACACAATGCTCTGGCTTAACAACTCCTTATAGAATTAAACTGAAATGAATACCAACATGAATATGTTGATATGCAATACCCTTCCCAACAAGGGTATTGTGAAGGAGACTGCATTAGATGTAACAAGGACTAACATTTATAGAGCACCTCCTGTGTGCCAAGCACTGTTCTCATGCTGACAGCAACCCTGGGAGGGAGAATTTACAGAGGAGAAACTGAGATACAGACAAGTTAAATAATTTATCCCCAAATCAAACAGCTAGTAAGTAGAGGAAAGGGGTCTAAAACTCAGACAGCATGCCTTTGGGTCCATGCACTGAATGACTGCTGGGTAGTACAGTATTTGGGGGATCTTCCGAGGGCAGCGGCAGAAGCATGCCACCTGCCTTCCTAGGGATGGGTGGCAAGGAGCCAAATGGAGCAACCTCAGGAAGCCTGTTCCCACCCTGCTTTGCACAAAGACTGTCCTTGTAAGACTGGGAGGACGTGGGATGATGTCGGTCTGTGCCTTGGTGTCCTGGTGTCAGGAGCAGGGGCAGCCAAATGTTGTGCAAACATTCTTGTTAGCCTTTGGATGAGCAATTACACCAGGGAGGCTTATCTGGTGACAGTCCGCCTGCAGTGACGTCACCGGTCACCCTGGCCCCTGCCAAAGGCCAACCTTGTACCTTCCCAAGGCCAAGAGCCTTCGGCGGCCCTCTGTCCTCAGGGATGGAGATTCCGTATGAGGGTACAGCATCGTCTCCATCTTCCTCAGAAGGAGAGGCTGCATGTGGTGGCCAGTCGAATGTGTTTTACGTGGATTGTGTTGGCCAGCACGCTCTGTCCTTTTCTGGCCACGCAGACTTAGAGTGCTTTTCTCTGATGTCTTCAATAGCCAGCTTCTCCATGAGGGAAATGAGGGAGGGAGCTGTAAGAGTGACCAAAATGAGACACCATGGGGCAGGGGAAGCTTCCCCTCTGCAGTGCGTTCTCTCCACCCCATGCTCAGTCCCTTGCCCCATCACCCTACTGGCTGACCCCTAGGTTTCTCTCTTATTATGCAAGATGTCATAGCTGCTTGTGGGATTCATTGAGATGCTTAGTATCCAAGAACCAAAACGCCTTGGGCCAGGAATATGTCAGATCAAAGGAACTTTGTTTTAGGCATAAGTACATTGCCCTTTTTTTTATTGAGGGAAAATCTGGGCTTCGCAGACCCACGACGAAAGGTGTGGGGACTGGCCTTTAAGAGGGAAATCTGTCACTGCCTCTAACCAGGCTGTAGTTACCTGTAAAGGTGTGCAGAGGAAGTCACTCTCTAACCATCCTTGGTCACACACTGCAGTCCTTACCTGGCCTTACTATCTGTAAACGTTTCTCATCTAACCCAAGTCTCCCACACTGAGCTCCACACCAACTCACTCCTTCCGGCTCAGCAGCAGCAGGAGAGCCAGAGAGTGAGGTCTGGCCACCCTTCCTTTTGTAGTTGAAGACAGCTCATAACACATGGCTCTCATGGTATCTCACATTTCTGTCACTGTCTCCCCTGTCCCCAATAGGACCAAGTCCCACTGCCCGTCTGCCCACTGCCGGTGTCTATCCCTTGCCCATGGGCCAGACCTCGGCTTGGCCATTCTGAACGTGCACCGTATGGGTGGGATACTCTTGTCTGTGCTTTTAGGAAATGCCTGCCCATGCATCCCCGGGCAGGTGGAGCAGGCTGGGGGGCGTGGGGGGCATGGTGGTGGCCTGCCCTTTACCACTGCCGCTTGGGTGTGCACCCAGGAGAGAGCAGGCGTCACAGCAGCTGCTTCTCACTTACGTTTCCACCTGGAAGCGTCGGGTGAGCAATGGCCGATGGGGTCTGTGGGTCTCCAGAAGTAATAGACAGGTGTTAGGTGTCTTGTGTCTGTAGCAAAGGGAGCCTGAACAACTGAGAACAAACAACAGCTGCTTGGTAACATGAGCTCCTTGCATTTGAAGTCGGAGGCCTGGCAGGGGCTGGGGAAGGGGAGGCCAGGTTGTGCTGGCCACCACCTGCCTGGGAGGCCAGAGGTGAGGTCAGTTTCCCAGAGAACCATGGAGTCAGCTGAGGGGACTGAGAGCCAACTGTGGGAGAGAGGTGGTGGTGGGGGGGGGCACTTGCAGAGGAATGCAGGGGCTGAGATTCTGAAACCCGTCGTGGACACCGGGTACTTGGGGAAACACTTTTTTAAAACTTCGCCTTTCTATTTTTGCAATAAAATAACTGACATGTTATTTTGTGATCTATCCAATAAAATCGGGGCTGTGAAAATGCTGGCGCGCCACCCGGGGCCTGCTCTCCAGAGCTCAAACATGTGTTGGGATTTCCAGGGGCTTCTACTGGGCTTCAGAAGACCTGGGTGCAAGTTCTGGCTCTGTCTCTGAGTATTGTTGTTGTTATTTATCTGTATCCTCGGATAAAGTTCTACCTTACTCCTAGGTTGCTGGGAAGAGAAAATATTGTGTAGGAAAGCCATTTACAAAAGTGCGACGTAAAGTTTACTACACCAAACATACAGGACGTTGGAGAGAATTAAAAGGAGAAGTCGGAGGTGCTTATGGTCTGAACAGTACGGGTGGCTCACAGCCGCCGGACGTGTCATTTTCCAGAGCAGTGTCCCTTGTATCCTCTGACTTGGTAGTGCCACAGTAAAAAGCAAACAGAAACAGCTGGGGCGGCAGGGCAGGCAATGTGTTTTGAACAGGGTTTTAATGGATGAAAAAGTTACGGCTTGAAACAAATGGGACTGCAAGAGGAAGCGAGAGAGGGCAGTGTCGGAGACTCGAGGCGCTCTGGGCACCTGCCTCCCAGCCCCTGGAAAACACTTCAGGCTCAGTGTGGAGGGGTCTTCCTCAGGCCAACTAAAAGGTAAACCCCTCTCAACTCCTGCTGTGTCCAGGGCTTCCATGAAACCTCCTAGGATTTCAGATTTGAGGTCTGCCATCTAATGAGGGTGGACAAAGTGGCTGACCAGTGTAGGAGGCGGGAGCTGGTGACCATTGTTCCTTTAAGAGGCATACATTTAAATTCAGAGTGCTGACCATGAACTTTACTGGGGTGCTTTTCCCGAACCTCCCTTTCCCCCAAAATACCCTCCCAATCATTTGGCCCCTCTGTTGCGGATCCTTGTGTCTGGTTTGTTTGTTTCTGGCCTCCAAGTGAAAAGTAGTACCCCAGCTTCCCTTCCCTCCTTAAACACCCGATGCCAGTCTCCTCAACAGGTAGGTTTCCTGAATTGGGAAGTTAGTTATCAGACCCCTGGCAAGGCACTTGTCCTTGGCGGAAATCCAAGGCATTGAGCAATCTGTGGTGCCTTGGGTGCAGCTCCAGATCCTGAAGTTTGGCGTTGCAGCTCAGCTGGGTCATTCCTGCAGCCAGAGCCGGAGCTGGAGCCGGAAGAAGTGTCCTGATTCATGCCAGGCCTGACACCTGGTGGGGAGGGGTTTCCTTCTGTGCCACCTCCGGGAGTTAAAATAGAGTAATGTGAAACCACCCTCAACAGAGCCAGTGGCCGGATGTGGAGACTCAGAAATAAGATGGAGCTGATGTTCTGGGAAGTCCGTCATTTATGGGTGGACCTTCCCTTTACTTTTCCGGCCATGGTATCTCTCCCCCCTGAGTGAAGAGTTCTCCCCTGTTTCCTGCCACCTCTGGGAGGTTGTGCAATGTCACGATGCCTTTTACTCCCCTCTTTGTGTCATTGCAGGGCACAGTGGAGCCACGGCCACCTGTCACACTTGACATCTTGCTGAATTGCAGGGACATATTCTCTTGCATTGAGTTCCTGTGACCTTTAGGGATGTGATTTTCCCTCAGCTTTGGGACACTTGTGAAATGTCCCCATGAACAGAGAAATGTCACCCTGGCAGAGAAGCTGGGTGCTGGCTCCCAACCAGAAACTGGACTAACACAGGGACAGAGAAGATGGGTGTGGAGTGAGTGAATGGTGCATCCTTTTGTGTTCCACCTGGTCTCTGCTTGGGTTCTCACTTGCAGGACTTTCTGGAGAGGCAAACACGCCGTGCTGGGAGGGAGGAGAATGGGCCATAGAGCCTCTGCTCTGAAAACGTCGCTGGTTTAGACTCGGTCTCAACAGAGCCCTTGGTAGGGTGGGTCACCTCTCTCAGGTCGTAATTGGGTCCAGGGAGTGAGCAGGTCTGCACAGCTTGGGACACAGCAGGGCTAACCCGAACTTTCTAGGTCCCATGAATGGGGACATAGTAGACTTTTTTGTGATCCAGTTGACGCCCCTTGCAGGTCGAAGCAGAATCGATATCCCCCAGGAATGCAAAGGGAGCAAGCACCCTCAGCTCCCCAGGGTCCCCCAGGGCTTCCCTGGATGCTGCGCCTTGGGGTGCTCACCCTCTAACAGGATTCTTTGAAGACTTGACATGGGGCTACGGTGTTGGTGGGGTAGCTCAGGGTGTGCTGGGACCCTCCCTTTCCCTGACTGGTCCTGTGCATGCTGTGTTTTTAGATCCTCTGTCTGCCCTTCCTCCGTGTGTCATGTCTGATGACTCATCTTACCCTGCAGAACTCTCCTCTCCTCGCAGCTCCTCATTCGGGAAGCAGCCTCCAGGGAACCCGTGGTCTCCCACCCACTAGTCCACTATTGGAGTCTTCCTGTGCCCCCACCTGCACCCCAAATAATTCAAAGAAATCACCTTTTTTTAGGAGCAGGGAGCCAGGGTGTGAAGCCCCCTAGTTCTCCCTCAGCCCCCCTGTGTCACGGGTGGCCTTGGAAAGGGAGACAAATCCCTTGATTTCTCCCTTCTGCCGGCCCACCCTCTTTCCCCAGGAAAATCGGGGCGTGAGATTAATGAGCACTGCCTGGCCGGCTGTCGCTGAAAGTTTGGTTTGTGATCCTGTTTCATTAGGCTGAAATAGGCCTTCATCCGGAGGTAGAGTCCCTCCCAGGGAGTCCATGTACAGTTACACTAGCTGTCACCGCCAGTGCCCGCCCTTTCTGGACAGATGTGACCTCCTCTCACCCCCCTCTTCACCCCCACTCTCCCTCCTTCCTTCATTTTTATCCAGCGTCTCGCTTCCTCTCTCTCTCTCTTTCCTTCTCCCGCCTCTGCCTCTACCCCCTGCCCTCTGCCTCCCTGCAGCGCCAAGCTGGCCCCTAGACCTGGTGTGCCGCACGCAAACCGCTGACGGTTGGCGGAGCCGCCTCCTGGGGCCCGGGCTGCCGCGGCCGGCTACGGCACCGACGCCAGCAGGCGGGCGAGAGCCGCGGAAGGAAAACAAGCGGGCGCGCGCGGGAGCCCCAGGAGGGCGGCCGGCCGGCGGGCGCGGACGGCGGAGGACCTGTGCGCACAAAAGTTAGACTCCGGCGGCCGCGCGCCCGGCTGCGCCTGACCCGGGCGCTCCCTGCCCGCGGCCCTCCAGAGAGGAACTTGATCTCCCTGCAGCTCGAGTCGAGAGCGGTGTCCTGCAAGAGGGCCAAAAGCGCAGGGCGAGCGTGGAGCGGGACTCTGCCAGCCGGAGCGCTGCAGCGACGAGGACCCATGCCGGCGGCCAACCTGATGGAGAACCTGCAGCTGCCCGCCTTGCAGGTGCCCGGGCCGCAGGGCGCGCCCGAAGGCAGCCCGGTCCGGTCCAGCTCGTCCACCCCCACGCTCCGCCGCCGGCGTTTCAAGATGCACCGCATGAAGAACGTGCATGAGCAGAGCCTAGAGGCCCGGCTGGCCCGGGACCTGCCCGGCGTCTTGGCTCCAGGCAAGGAGTTCCTGCAGCTGCCGGCCATCGAGATCACGCCTTCAAGCGACGAGGACACCCCGTGGTCCAACTGCTCCACACCCAGCGCTTCCCCACGCCGAAAACGCTTCCTCCTCCGCAAGTGGCTGAGGGTGAGGGAGCGGAAGGAGTGCAGTGAAAGCAGGTACGTCTCTGTTCTGCCCCGGCCCTTCTTCCCAGCACCCTCCTTCTCACCAGGTCCCCAGAGCCGTCGGGGGCACCCGGGCACCTGGGCGTAAACTCGGGAAGAATGCAGGGGCCCTTCACCCAGTGCGTTTCAGCCCCGGAGGCACCCGACCTATGGTTAGTGCACTTTAGCTTCCTGGCAATCCAGGGCCAGGGGCCAGTGACTTTAACAGAGGAAATCCATCTGACACATTGGCCCGGGGCTTCAGCACTGCCTCTCTGATCCTCACAGCAAAGTGAATAATAAAAACCATGCCATGTGATGTTTATTGCTCCTGTGTCACGTGCCAGTCATTATAGCAAGCACTTCACTGTCTCTCTCTAAATTTAATCTGCACAGAAAGTCTTTGAGGTAGGCATCGGTATTTTTCCCATTTTACAGGTAGAGATAGTGGAAGGAGAGACATGTTAAGGGGCTTTGACACTTAGGCTTACGTTTCTAAATACTCCATTTCAGTTTTTATTATTTTATCCTTGGCAGCACTGGGGTGCCTTTCCTGAGTCTGTGTGCCAGCAACTTTTCAGCCTGGGTAAAGGTGGCATCTGAGTACTGGGCTGGAGGGGGGCGGGGATCCGCTTTCCCTATGCAGAGAATCAGTGTGGGAAACCATAGGCAGCTCTACACGGCCTTGGCCAGAAGTGGTGTTGGGGCCAGAGCCAAGGCCATGGCCTTGTGGGGGACCTCATTCACTTATATTCAGACTCTGGGGCCCAGTCCCTTTAACAGTGGATTGTGCCCTTGTGTGGGGTAACTGGCCCTCCCTGGGGCTTCTCCTCCCAGTCTGATCCATTTCACTTGCTTCAACTCAACAAGTACTTGTTGAATGTTCTGGGAAGGTTGGCCTGCTACTAGCTCATGGTGACTGCTTGGGGGCAGGGGAGATGGGGCTGGGGACACTGAGGGCGTGCGAAGTTAAGAAGAGTGTCTCATACTAGACACTGGTATGAGAGAGATAGAACCATGGCAGGCAGTCCCGGTGTGCCCCGTGGTCCTGACTGCGGGGAAGGGGAGGAGAAGGGCTCCTGCCAGGAAGAGGCTCCAGCCGGGACCAACACTTGCAGGCTGTGAGAGCCCGTAGGGAAAGTGAGAAAGCAGGCGTGCCGTCGGGAAAGGGAAACCGTCTGGACAAAGGTGTAAGGGCAGGGTAAGCCAAAAAAAGATTAAAAATATGAACAATAAAATGGCAATAAATATGTATCTATCAACAAATGGATCTAAAAAACAAAATAAGTGAACAAGCAGAACAGAAATAGACTCATAGATACAGAGAGCATTCTGATGGTTGCCAGATGGGGAGGGTGGTGGGAGGACTGGGGGAAAAGGTGAGGGGATTGAGAAGTACAGTTAGCACTTACAGAGTAGTCACGGAGATGTAAAGTGCAACACTATTCTAATCACCATGTGTGGTGCCAGGTGGGTGCGAGATTTATTGAAATGATCACTTAGTAAGTGATATAATGTCTGATCACTGGAGTGTCCATGTGAAACTAATATAAATTGTATGTGAACTGTAATACAAATGTTTTTAAATAAATAATACCTACTAAAAAAGAAGAACAGGGTGAGCCTTGTGTCCCTGGGGGGCATTATGGGATCGCAGGGTCACACAGAGGATGGGTGTCCTGAGCCTCCCAGGGTTTCTCTTTTCCTGGGTGCAGGGATAGGTGTGCTTGTCCCCCTGCAGGTGCAGGTGCAGGTGCAGGTGCAGGTGCAGAGCTTCGTTCTGGGGCCTGTGTGGACCTGGGAGAACAATCCTTCTCGTCTGCTGCAATGCATCCTGCCGTCTGGCCACAGCGTAGAGGGAAGTGGGGCACTCGTGGTGGGAGCTAATCTCGAACTGAAAGAGCTCATTATGGTTGTGCGCTTTCTCTTTATATGTGAGAGACCCTGTTTTGATCTTGAGCTTCTGTCACACAGGCTGAGGACAAAACATCGGGAAAAGAGTCCTGTGTTGCTGGCCAGGGTGGGAAGGGGTGGATTTGGTTAGATTTAAGGAAGACTTTCCTGGTTTTGAGAATAGTCTTAAGAGGTCAGTGGAAGCCCTGGCTGGTGTAGCTCAGTAGATTGAGCGCGGGCCTGCGAACCACATGTTCGCGGTTCGATTCCCAGTCAGGGCACATGCCTAGGTTGCAGGCCAGTTCCCAGCAGGGGACTCATGAGAGGCAACCATACATTGATGTTTCTCTCCTTCCCTTCCTATCTAAAGATAAATAAATAAATTAAAAAAAAAAAAGAGGTCAGTGGAATCTTCTTTTTTTTTTGAAAAAATCGTGAAGGATTTAAGACAGTTCTTTTAAAGGGTCGCTTGTTGCATTGGAAGAATATATGCATATATGTATTAAAAAGGCAGGCTCTGGATTCAAACCCAAATTTGTTCAATTCAAACCTCCGCTCTTAACCACAGTTGCCCTGCCTCCCATTGGAATCTATCTGGATTGTGCCTAAAACAAAACCCTATCATTTTTACTCCTTGGAAATGGAAGCCTTCTTGGAAAGAAAGGAAGGAATCAAGTGTAGATGCCCAACGAGACTCTCTGAGGAGGAGATGGCATTTAGAGGCATTCGAGTACAAAGTATTGGTCTTAGAGCCGGAGACTTCAATGTACATTCTAGTTCTATCACTGATTGATTAGCTATGGAGCCTCGGACCCCTCCCCTGAGCTCTGTGTGTCTCACCCTCTGTGGAAGGGATATCTGCGGGCTAATGGAGGTCTTGAGAGTAACACACGTGAAAATGCTTTGTGACTTCCCCTCGCTGTGCAGGGGTAAAGGGCCATTGCCACAGTTCTGTGGGTGCCTCACGTGGAGTGGGTGTGTGCTGGAGAGCAGGAAGGTACATACTCACTGTGGCCTGGAGTCACACCTGGGACTGCTCACCCAAGACAAGATTGGGGAACGATGATGGGGAAGTGACTCTGCTATGGCTGGGAATAGGGGGCATTGAGCACACTGGGCCCAGTGTGACAATTTCACATTCGCCACCCCAGTCTGTGACTCCACACGCACCTAGAAAAGCACCGTTCGGCCCCCCATGCATTTTCTCTGACGTGGTAGCAGGCAGAGGCCAGCAGAACTTGTGCATTTTAACTGCTAAATGAAAAAATACAAAGAGGAACTGAGACCTTTCTTCTCCTTAGCCCTGGGAAGGAAGGAGTGGAGAAAATGGTGATGCATTGGTGTGGTTTGGGGTCCAAGGACCAGGGGTTTAGCACACAAATACTCCAGTCTTGTCTGGCTCTTCTGTGTATCTTCATGTCGGGCACTGTGCTTGGCCTTTCATATGATCCAGAAACTTTTGCTGATGAATAAAGTAATAATGAGTGAATAAATGATTCCTTCTTCTATACTGTTTGGAATAGAATACTCTTGATAGATGAGTCAGGGAAAATTTCCTTGAGGAGATGGGCCCAGAGCTGAGGATTTTTTTCTTTATTGAGATATAATTTACACACCATGCAACTCATTCATTTTTACAGTATGCAATTCAATAGTTTTATCATATTCACAAATATGTGCAACTATTACCATGGTAAAATTTCGAACATTTTCCTCATCTCAAAGACAAAGCTGTACTCTTTATGTATTACCCTTAATCCCTCTAGTCCTCATCCCTCCAGCCCTAGGCAACCTGGAATCTACTTTCTGTGGAAGCAGAGCTTTGAATGGGGACCAGATGCCTGTTGGTGAAAGCAGTTTGGGTATGATAGTTTCAAGATGGGTGACCAAGTCTGGTCTTGATGAGGGATGTGGAAAAAAGAGGATGGGGAGGCGATGGGCTGACAAACTATGATTTATGCGGAAGGGATTGAGTTTCAGTTAACCAGTCAGCCAATGAAGATGCGTTGAGGTTCTAAAAACAAAAGGATTCGACCCAATGCAGAACCATTGTATGTTCTGGAACCTGGGAGATACCTAATCTGAGCTAATTCTTACTGTTTGGTGTGAACGGTATAGTGCAGTGGAGGCCAGAGCGTTGCACGCTGTCCTGCTGCTGGTCCAGCTGGGATCTGCGCAAGCCAGCATTTGATCCGTGATGGCTCCGGTTTGCTTTGCGGGCCCTGGTGCCTGCCGAGCCCTTTGCGTGATGCAGGCGAAGTTGGCGAGGCAAGCTCTAAGAATGCATCCCGTACGTCTCCCAAAATCCCATGGCCATGACTGCTTGTGCGGATTGTTTGAAACCCAGGGTGAGGGTCAGAGCTCCTCTCTGACCTGCGGGATGATGACAAGGTCAGAAATTAGGTGGAGCCACGTCCTCCAGGATGTCGTCCCGTCGTTCTGTGGAGAGGAAGGGGGAGCTGACCCGGGCCAGGTAAGTGGGTGGGGTGGCTAACTGCAGCACAGAGGCACTTCTCTGCCCCTTGCTCCCCTGGCCGTCCTTGTTAGTGTCACCATTTACACCATCTTTCCCTCAGCTGTTCTGTCCCCTCTTCTGTCTGAAATATCTACCCGTTGTGACTGCTCACAGCCCAGCAGGCTGGCAGCAAGAGTCTAGTTGGCTTGGAGCCTCAGGGATTTTGTTAGCTGCACCTCTGACCCTGGGTTCTGCCTCTCACGGATTCTGTCTGGCCCGGTGGCCCTGTCACCTACGTGATGCCAGCATAGCTGGAGTGTGGGTTTGCAGCTGAGGCATAAACATCATTGGTATATTTATCTTGATTCTTCATCCCCTTCCTCTTGCCTTTAGGGCTTGTCTTGCTTCCTGTTTCAGCTTGGGTTTCTAGGCGGGCAGGTGATCCAAATGCTCCACCCCTCAGCTCTGTTACACCCTGCAGTGTCTGAGAAACACAGGGAGTGTTGAAGAGGAGAAGTCTTAACACAAACCATTCAACAAGCACACAGGAAACCAGCCGTATGTCAGCAAGTTAAGTCATCCGTCAGTGCTGGGTAAGGTGAAACCAGCAAAATGTCCACCAGGCCTGTAGTTCCTTGAGGGCGGGGACCGTGTCTCACTTTGTGCC